CTATGTTTTATGTGAAGGATCTCATCACCAAGAAAGTTCTCCTTTTCGGTTAGAGTCATGATGGTTTTTATGTCCTCTCTAAATCTTCTGCCACGTCAGTTCCTCAAGCTTTTTGGTCTCCTTGCATCTCCGTGACTGCTGACTTGTGGCATTGTCATTTAGGTCATCCACCCCTTCACATTTTAAATTTGTTAGTTTCCGTTAATAAAATCGTATGTACTTCTAGATGTTCTCTTACTTAGTGTCAAGCTTGTCCTTTAGGTAAGTTATCTCATTTGTTATTATGATCTACGGGTCACAAAACTTCTACCCTACTTGATTTAATTTTTAGTGATGTTTCGGGTTCTACTCCTATGTTTTCTTCTGATGGCTTCCGCTATTTTGTTATTTTTGTTGATTCCCATACCGAACATATATGGTATTATCCACTTGTTGCGAAATCTGATGTGTTTTCCATTTTTCAAAGTTTTCAAACATTTGTTGAGTGTCAGTTTTCACTTAAAATTAAATCTATTCAAACTGATTGGAGCGGTGAATATCGTAAATTAAATAATTTTTTTTAGACTATTGGTATTCATCATCGATTAATTTTTCCTTATACTCATGAATAAAATGGAATTGTTGAACTTCGTCATCGACATATTATGGAAACTGGCTTAACCCTTTTAGGCCAGTGTAGTGCACCATTGCGATTTTAGAACTATGGGTTTGAATCATTGGTATACCTAATTAATCGCATGCCTACTCTTGTTCTCCAAAATAAATTTGTTTGAGTGTCTGTTTCATCGCACTCTAGATTATAACTTTATATGTACTTTTGGGTGTCTTTGTTTCCCCTTTTTGCATCCATATTATGGTCGTACCAAACAAGTTGAGGTCGATTATTATTTTGTTCAAGATAAAGTTGCCAAGAAGGAGATTTAGATTCATTTTATTTCCTCTCGGGATCAACTTGTCGATGTCTTCACTAAGCCCCTTTTTACTTCTTCATTTTCTACTTTTCATTTCAAGTTTCGGGTTGATCCTCCACTCTCAACTTGAAGGGACATATTATATAATGTACTTATATAGAAAATAATATATAGGAAAGATTATAGACATACTTCTCTGTGAGAACCTCCACCATTGCTATTATATATTGTCCTACACATATATATAGAAAGGGTTGGCTAACTCTTTGGTTAAGACTCCCAATTATTCTCAACTTTATATGAGATAAAATATTTTTTAAGAGTTACGAGTTTCATCAAAACATAACAACCAAGGGTTATTTGAGATTAATATTTTATTCACCCATAATTTGTTTAAATCCCATAAGAGCTCATATTAGATATTAAATTTTAATAAAATTTTAACCTAAAAAGTAAAGTTAGTGATTCCACTTTTAATTTGGCATGTTGATTAACCATGTTAAAAAAAAAATTCCAACATGCTAAAAATTCTATATGAATTAAAATGAAAAATAAATAAATCTTGTATACAAAAGTTAGTTTAATATCAATACCCTAATGCAGTTGTTACCAATATAAATGCTTTGGGCGTCAACAACAATTAAGAAAAAGCAAAAGACAAAGAAACATAAATTGTATTTCCATGGTATGAAGGCCAACTAGAAAATGATGGATCGATGTAATCAACCAACCCAGGTAGCGTTTAAGACTGGCTATAGTGTTTAACATTTAGCATCTGCCATCTTGTTAATTATATTATTCTGAAGACTGAATAATTCAGGTGTAAGTTCATGGTAAATAAAAAGGAAAATCGTATCATGTTCCTGTGTTGAAAAAAGGATAAGGATGCATTTGCCATGCATTTAGGCATCTTGGTTTCCAGATCAAGATCATGCTCTTGCTTTCTCTCTTTGTATTTTTTGTAATATTTATACTTTG